GTCCACAGATCGCCGCTTGCCAGCAGTAGTAGAGGTCCCAAGATCGCGAGTCGCACTCGCCAACTTCAACTTAAAACCAGCAGACCTTAGATCATTGAAGAGCAACAAGGTGAGCGGCAGATTGTTACCAACAATGGCAGACTTGTCGGACATAATCAGATCCACTGGCTCCAGAGAGCGGCCGAGGTGAACAGCAGCAGAGAGAAGCTGTCGGCGGACCTCATCCGCACTACCTTGGGCCACCTGCGACAGGTCATCGACATAGGAACGAGTGGAGACCCCAGGTTGGTACCGATGATGCACATCATGTAGGATTTGATACAGATAAACCTTCACCCAAGACATGGATTGCATACACCCAGGGATCACCCCAATGCCAGAAGCTATCACATCAGAACAAAACCCAGAGGACTCGAGCATCCGAGGAGCCACGTGGATCAGGAGCCCGAGGTAGAGCAGGTGGGGCGGGAACTCCAAACGGCAGGCCAAAGAGACAAGCCGCGCTGGTACCACCGTGTCGAAAAACTTAGTGAGGTCCCTGTGCACAGCCACACTCTTCTGGCCTTCGAACATAGCAACCTCATGGCAGATCTCCCTCCGAAGCGCCGCCTGCAGAGCAGAGCTCCCCCTGACAGCATCATCCCAAAACTCCAAGTGGCCCTGGGACCAGTCCTCCAAGAAAGCCCCACGAATCTTATAGTACACCCGATAAAGGGTGGGGCATTTGCACACAGGGCGCTCGTCAGTGGCACTCTTAGGGAGGAAGGCAATGATTCCCAAGAAAATCTGGGAGGGCCACATCATGGCCCGTTCACACGCGGTGTAAAGTTTAGCAAGGGCACCGAGGGCCTGGGGATCCAACTGGAGAAAATCGCGGGGCCTCTAGTGGTCCACGCCAACCGCCGTGGTTTCAGAGAAACTACGGCTCGCAGCATACACGTCCCTAGGTTCAATGTCAGAAAGCTCATGGGCCATCTCAAGAGCCCGAACGCGAAGCTCATCCAACGCTTCCCCAAGCAACTCGATTTGGGATGGGCTGGCAGTCCAAAAGCGGCTCCACTTCTTAACACGGTGAGCCATCATTTCCTCTGGCAACTGCAACACGCCCTCGGGCGCGACGAAATACTCGAGCGGGTCACCTTGGTCACGCTTCAGCCAAGCATGGGCCTTCTTAGCCCCGTGCGGCAGGGCCCTCAAGAGCCAGTCCTTGACAGCCTTAGCCGAGGAACTCCTGGCCGCATGCCAAGCTTTGGGTGAGGGCACGCGAGCACCGATCGATCAGCTCCTGTCATCGGGCGGGATCGATGCTCGTTAAATCTAAGAGTTGAGCTCGCCACTCAGCAGCAGACTGGTCTGCAGGTAAGCACGAGGTATATCCATCTACACGCAGGCCCAGTGCAGAGAGACGCCGAGCCAATCCAGTACGCATATGATGGTACCCGTGCTGTACTGCCACCCGTAACTCATACAGCTTCTGTGAAACCGTGGACCAAAACATGAGGATAGGTTCCGAGAAGCTGCCCGACGTGTTACGATGATCAGTAAGTGTGGTACGCCGCATACCCATGTGCGTGCCACGCCCAATATAGCAATCATACTCATGCTCGTGCTCAATGTGCTCGTGCAGCATACACATGTCCTCAGTAGCCCTGGACCACAACTGATACGACGACGTCAGATCAACTGACATGTGCTTACAAACATGAGGGACAAGGTGAGGGCACTGATGATGCTCCACGCGCCACCGAGACAAAGCTGCAGCAAGATAATGCGCCCATGGCAAGCGGGGGCCTTCCACAGTAGGAAAACTGCGCGGCTTCACCCTCTTGCACAGCTGCTGCAGCAGCGCGGAGTGAGGCAGGCGGATGTCCAGAGCACAGTGCGTCTTGAAAGGGGACGCATGATACTTAGATACCTTCAGGTACGGGGCCAGGGTCTCACTGGCCACGACATAATCAATCAGCGTACCCTTTCCCATACTGCACGTGTAACTCACACCCACCGGTGGCAAAGCTCTGCTCTGGGTCATCTTCAGAAACCCGCACAGCTCCATCAGCTCAATGTCAAAGTTGAAATCGCCAACAAGGAGCCACGGTATAGTGAGAGAATTCACGAAGTTGCTGATGTGCCTCATCTTACGTATATTCTCACCCGAGACCCCCAAGTCAGCGACCATATAGACGACACCTACAGCTATAGTACACTTGAGAGTTTTCAACTCTAGAAACATCCAACCGTTTCCAGCACCGACCTCACGGGTGACACGGTCATGCTCCAGGAAACGTTTAAAATACAAACCTTTGTGAACGGCGGCCCCAACCCCCCCATGGGCCCCACCCCCAGGGGAAGGCGTAGCAGGGAGGAAATGGGGCCGCCAGTTCATGGCGGCCACATGCCGCTTAGCATCTTTCAGCTCAGGAAGAGGAAGAGGAGGAGGAGGAGGAGGAGGAGGAGGAGGAGGAGGAGTGCCAGGAGCGGCTCCCCCAGCGATGTCCGAATCAGATTATTTAGTTTCAACCCGTAGCGTGTGGGATAGCGGCGGCGCTGGAGCCCGAATCTCTGATTGTCTCCAGGCCCTCCTGAGATGGACCGGTTCGCCAGGTCTCGCCGGGCGTGTCCCCGCTCGCATTTGTCGTGGCATGTTGGGGGGGGGTGTTCTTCTGTAAGTGGCGGTCTTTTCCCGTATCTGGCGCGGGCTCGACGCGGATCCCTCGTGGATGCAGTGCGCGGATTCGACGCGGACCCGACGTGGATTCGACATAGATCCGACGCGGTCTCTGTTTTCGGACGAAGAGAACTATGCACATGCACCGATCCTGACAACGGCCATCCTTGACCCTGGATCGGTGCATATACCTTCCTGGCCAAGGTAAGAGGGCGTATGCACCGATCCTGGCCAGAATCGGTGTATGTGCATAGTTATCTTTCCTCTCTGTTTGACGGGACAGGCAGGGCCCCCCGAGTATGCCGCGTGGTTCGCTGCTGGCGCGCGCCCGCCAGGCTGGCGAGCGGGCCCGCGGGCAAGCCACAAAAGGCCCAGGACCTGCTGGGCGGCACGGTCATGCTTCGGCACGCTGTTTTCGGGGCCCTGCATTAAGTCGGGCCTGTCCCTCTACAGTGGGAATATTCAACAATTATCAAACATAGTATGGGGACCATTTTTTAACAAATTATGTTTTGACAATGTTGGAGTACTTTTTGAGTATTTATTTTTATTTTTCGTCGAAAATCCCCCTGTAGGGGGACACACCCGACTTAAGTCTTGCAGTCCTCGGAGCAACGAGGGCATACTTCCACCTGCGAGCGGCGCAACAACTGGGGCCTGCCAGGGCTGATCGCGATCCGAGTCGATCCGATCCGATCCCCAAACGCCGATCCCGTCGGATCCGACCCGAACCGATTCCCTCTGTGGCCTGCTGGGCTTGAGCCCGATCCGCGATCCCAGACCATCCGACCCCCGATCCGATTCCGCGACGATTCAGGCGTGTTCCGATCCGTTTCTGTTCCGAATTCGCGCTGCGATCAAGCGCAGGCCTGCCTGCTGCGCAGACAATTGCGCCCAAACTCCCCGCGCAAGGTCGCGCGAGTCAGTGCCCCCTCTTCGCGGGGTGTGCCGCGCTGGCGGCCTGCGTACTCATTCGTGTAAGGTCGCCGCAGAGGTTGGCGGAGCGCGGAAGGGGGCGACGCGAGGGGAGAGGCCATCTAAGAAGGCGGGCTGCTTCTGAAATGGCGGGGGGGCCTGTTTAGGAGGGCTTCCAAGAAGCCGGGACGGCTTCTAAGACGCCTTCTGCTTTCTCCCCCCCCGGCTTGGTTTCTTTGAAGGGCACCCCCTTCACTCTGGTCCCTCGTGCGCGACGCCGAAGGAGGAGCAGAAGGGGCCTTGAGTTGGTTTTGTCTGTTACCCTACCTTTGCGGGCGTCGTGGGGCGCTCTCTTCCCCATGACTAGATTTGTTTCGAAATCATAGTCAGAACGCGTTCTGGGACAGGTCTGGAAGTTCTGTGACTGCCAGGAGATGCTCTGGAGTAGAGGGAAGGAGGGATGGAGGGAGGAATGGAGGAGGAGGAGGAGGAGGAGGAGGAGGAGGAGGAGGAGGAGGAGGAGGAGGAGGACAAGCTAGGTGCGCTCGCGTCATATCTGACGTCCTACCCCTCCCTCCCATCCCTTACCATGGCGCTGATTTTCTCTATCCGCGGACGCGTGTCGTAGCGGACCTGTGGCTCCGCGCGCGCGTGCGTAGTGGGTGGTGGTGCGCGTGCGTGCGTGCGTGCGTGTGTGCGTGGTTGTGGTTGGTGGTGCTGGTGCTGGTGCTGGTGCTGGTGCTGGTGCTGGTGCTGGTGGTGGTGGTGGTGGTGGTGTGGTGGTGGTGGTGTGGTGGTGGTGGTGGTGGTGGTGGTGGTGTGTGTGTGTGTGTGTGCGTGTGTGCGCGTGTGCTGTGGCATGGCACGGGAAATGACGCCAGCGCTGCAGCGGGAGCACGAGTCGAAACGGGCGGAAGCGCGGAAATGAGGCCAGCGGCAGCGGGAACACGATTCGGAACGAGCGGGGCCCGGAAATGAGGCCAGGCGCCTCAGCGAGAGCAGCATTTTGAAAAAAATGCAAGCGAAAACCCAACTCCCGGGAATCCTGTGTGAAAAAACAGGACGCGGGGGGGGTCGGCTACTCCCAGCACGCCATCAGGGGAAGAGGGAGAGTAGTATTCATATTGAGTAATTGTGGAGGAGGAGGAGGAGGAGGAGGAGGAGGAGGAGGAGGAGGAGGAGGAGGAGGAGGAGGACGAGGGGGAGGAGGAGGAACAGGAGGACTGGCAGGAGCGGCTCTCCAAGTGACGTTCGACCAGGACTGCGCACTCTTGGCCCCCCTGTGGGCTGGCGGCGGCGCCAGGGCCCGAATGTCTGATCTGATTACCTCCCGGCCGCCGCTGAGATGAGGCGGGCCGGCCGGGTCCCACCGGGCAGCGGCGACCCGCCATGGCAGGGCCTGCCTTGGCCAGCCGGCCAGGTGGACAGCGCGCCCGCCCAGATGCAGCTGCGCGACGCCATCGACGCCGGCCTGCGCGGCCCGGACCCGAGGCGCGCCTTCGAGGCCCGGCTGGGGGGGGGAGCCTTTGCCTTCGCGGCCCCGGACGGCGCCGCCGCGCGAGCTGCCGCCGCCGCGGCCGCCTCGCGGACGGCCGCCGCGGCGGGCTGCTGCCGCTCGCCGCTCCTCGTCGTGGCTCCCTCATGTGCCTTCTCCCGAGCCTGGTCCTGGCCTGCTGCGGGTGCTGCTCCTCGCTGCCCCCTCGTCGCGCTCCGCGCGCTCGCGCCTCCCGTGCTGCCGGTGGGGTGGGTCGAGTGGCGCTGCTGCTGCCTCGTCTTGCGCCTGGCCCCCGCTCCCGCTCCTGCTCGTGTCGTGCCGCTGCTGCTCCCTCTCCCCCATCCCTCCTCGTGACTGCGTCTCTCGTGTCCGCGTGCCTCGCTCGAGCGGTGGTGTGATGCTTTTGCTGCTCAGAAGGTGCATCCTGACAGTGTTCCCGAGTGGCCGCTGTGGCTTGGCGATCAGCGGCGAGACCGTGAAGGAGACGATGCAGGCAGGTTGTGTTCTCGTCCGGCTGAACAGGGCGCGAGGAGGTGGTTGTGAAGGCCGTGTGGCCATGTGTGGGTGGACATGCCCGAGCATTAGGCGCTCGTTTGGCTGCGAGGGTTCCGACGACAGCCCCCGTCGCGGTGGTACTGATAGCCTCGGCGCCGTCGCTGCGGCTCTGGGCGCAGAAGCCGCACGAAGCCTCCCTCGCCCCGGGCACCGTGGCCGCCCGCGCTCGGCTGGCGAAGACCAAGCCGACAAACAAATGACGATTTATCCGCGGAAGGCCCCTATGCACTTCGGCCGTGCTTGGCCAGTGCCATCCTGGTCCCTGGCATGGATGCAGCCTCCTGGCCGGGGCCAGGAGGGCGTGTGCACCATGCGAGGGCCCAGAATGGCACTGGCCAGGCACGGTGGCGGTGGTGGTGGTGGTGGTGGTGGTGGTGGTGGTGGCGGTGGCGGCGGTAGAGTGCATCGAGGCCTTCTGCGTAGTTGACACCAGGAGCCATGGCAGAACGGCATGGCGTCTGAGCGCGCGGCCAGGTAAAGGTCGTCGGACGGCGCAGGAGCGCCGCACAGCGCTGCCGCCGGCCTCTGCCCGCCGCCGCGGCCGCCGGGCCTCGGGGGCGCGTTCCAGGGTCTCTGCAGCTGCTGGCTCGCGTTGCATGTTCGGGAGACACTGCACCTTCGGAGGGCGCTGTCATCCTCCTCGCCCTCGTCCTCCCTGCTCTAGTCCTGACGCCCGCGGTGGACAGGGTGACGTGTGGATCGGCCTATGAGCCTCGCGCCTCCTACAACAAGTTGTTCGGAGAGACTGCCTGTCCTGTGTATGGCGGCATTTTCGTGAATCCGGCGTGGGCTCGACGCGGATTCGGCACGGATTCGGCGCGGATTCGGCGGGGATCCGACGCGGATCCGACATGGATTCGTCGCGGACGGCGGCGTGATGGGACAGACAAGGTCCCCCGAAGAGGCGCTCGCAGCGCGTGAGCGGAGAAATCCACAGATTTTGTCGACTCCAGCTCCGACTGCTTGGCCGAGTCTGCCGAAAACACACTTCAGGTGTGCGAATGGTTCCCGCGCCTTCTCGTAACTGTACGAGTCGTCTTCGGCGTCGTGGTTTACCTCGCCGCGCGCTGCCACAAGCATGACTGGCAGTCCCACGGGAGGCGCAGCGGTGCGCTGCCTTCTATCGCCACCGGCGCTATCCAGTTGGCATCTCCGAAGAGCACGCTGCCTTCCTTAAAGTGGTGGCATGTCCACCAATGTACATCATCTGGCCTCCAGGCGGCACGCGCGGTGCTTTCCACTCGGACAGCGGCGTCTGGGTGGGAGTTCGCTCTGCGCTTCTGCCACTGGGAAAATGATACGGCATGCGGGAACGCTCCACAATGATTTCGCGCAGCTCACACATGGGAGCCGGCTTTTGCCCGGCGAGGCACACCAAAGGGGATCACCCAGGTAGGGCGCGAGCGAGGCCTCGGCAACGCTGGAGTGATTGATGAAGGCATTGATTGTATCCCTCCCCCTTCTCGTTCCTCTCCCCCCCCTCCCTTCCCCCCCGCTGGACCGCAAGACAATCAAGTGTGATCTCGCTGACACTCGCGTGCTTCCTTTAGTGGCAACAGAAGCGACTTTTCCCGGCGCGGTCCAAGGATTGATGGCTTGCCACTGCTACTCTAATGCGAGTTGTTTTCCATGTGTTTCTTTTTGTCCCGTAGCCTGTAGGAGGACACGGCCTCTGTGCCGATCGGGAGTAGCGTAGCGTAGTGTAGCGTTTCTCGTATGGTGCCAGCCCACGTCTTGAGCTCGCCCTGAATTGCGGCGAACCTTGATGCGCGCAGGCGCTCGGATCTTGATAGCCCCCCCGCCGATCCTCGCCACCTCCCCTTCCACCTCCTCCTTGCCTCCTCAGCCTGGCCACAGGCGATGCTGGATCGTTTGGACGCCAGCGCAAGTGACCAGTGGCCCAAAACGATGTGTGCCTGGCCGAGGCAAACAATCGTCGCGATCCTTAATTATCCTTCGTCGCCTCCTCTTCAATATCAATATCCTCAGCATCGTCATTCATCCTTCTACTCGCCCTTCTTCTTAGCCGCCTCCTCTCCCCCCCCTCTGTCTCATCCCCCTTGCCCTCGTCATCCTCGCTCTGCTCCTCCCCCTCCCCTCCCCCCTTATCTTTCCTCATCAGCGTGCTCCTCCTTCGTATTCTACCTCTTCTACTCCTCAACAGTGCCTTCCTTGTCCTCCACCTCATCTCATCCACCTCATCTCCTTCGTGGCCCTCGTCTTCTTGCTCCACCCTCTCATTCTCCTCCCTGCTCCTCCGTCTCAATTTTCCCCAAACAGCGCTTGCACTTACATGGGTTCTGATGTACGTTTCTTCCTGAAGGACCTGGGTTGGTCAGCCGGGGGGGTCGCCTGGCTTGGTGCCCGCCCGTGGGCGCCTCCTGGGCGCCTCGCAGGCGCCTCGTGCCCTGTGTGGGTCAGCCGGGGTTTCGCTCGGCGCCCGCCCGTGGGCGCCTCGTGGGCGCCTCATGCGCTGGACGGCCGCATATGTTGCACCGCGTAGCTTTACCAGATATGTTGCACCACATGGCTTGCACCATACAGCTCACACCACACAGCCTACACCAAGTAAATTGCACCGCGTCGCCTTCAGCACATGGCTTACACCACACGGTTTGCACCGCCTACACGACATAGCCTACAAACTTGTACGACCGATTTCCGCGACGTAGTTTTCATTCACCACATACATTGCACCACTTAGCTCACATCGTGTAGCTTGCAGCACACAGCTTACACATTTACCGTGCAATGACTTACCGTTTGGTGTCCACGCTGGCGCACATGGATCTACATACGCATATCGGAAAGCGATCCTGCCTTCTCTTCGTTCCGCCTCTTTGATGTTTTTGCTCGGATCGTCGTGTCCTTCCCTCGTCCGCCCGCCCCTTGCTGGCCAGCGTCGTTACTCCTTTTTTCTTCCTCCCACCCGCCCATCATCCAGTTAGTCTTCTCTCCTCCTCGCCTTCTCTCATCCCTCCTCCTCCTCCTCCTCCTCCTCCTCCTCCTCCTCCTCCTCCTCCTCTCATCATTGTCATCCTCCTTCTCGTGCTCCTCTCCTCCTCCTCCTCCTCCTCTTCCTCCTCTTCCTCCTCCTCCTCCTCCTCGCCGTATCCTCTTCAATCCTGCCCTGCCGCTGATGCGGGCGAGGGAAGCGAGGAGGAGAAGCAACACCGTCGTGCCGCAGCGGGCCGAGGGGCGAGGAGCAGCGACCCCAACCGGGGGGGCTGGACCTGGCGGTCCCCGGCCCCCTCGTTCGCACGGGTGTCGGGCGAAGGGCACCCTACACATGCACCGATTCTGGTCAGGCCGATCCTGCTCGTCGGCACCGGTGCAGGTGCCTCCCTGGCCAAGCCAGGAGGGCGCATGCACCGGTCGTGGTCTCAGGAGGAGGCGCCTAAAAACCAAAAAACAAGACATCGCAAATGTCTTGTTTGCTTTTCAATCGTCTTGAAAAGGCAATGCAAGAACCGCCGTCTTGTAAAAAACAAAGCCACAAGATGTCACGGTGCTTCGTGTCGCGCCGCGGGCGGTCTCCTGCGAGGCTTGGGGGCCGGAGCGGGCCTCCCGAGGCCCAGGGCTCCGAAGAGCTGGCCGTCCCGAGGAGCACGGGTTTCCCCCCCACCGGTCGTTGAAAGTAGGTATTTTGGGATTCCCAGATTCCAATTTACTTTCAGCGCCTTCCTCTTTCAAGAGTCGAGTGGGTTTCTCTCCGCCTTCCTCTTCAGGAGGCGGTCGGAAACCAAATCCATTTCCAACGCCTTCCTACTTCATGTTTCAACCTACTTCTTCCGACCGATGGGTACGGGTCCCCCCCCGCCGAAAGCGCGGCCGCGGAGGGCCGTCCGGGAGGAAGCCCGGCGCCCCAGGAAGCCTCTCGACGAGGCGTCAGCTTCGGGGGCGGCAGAGAGGGGGGTGGTGACTGGGGGGGGGGATATCATGGCGTGGACCGTGATATTTTCCCAGATTTCATGGCGCCTCTTCTTATTTCATTACGGCTCTGGCCCCCCCGTTTGGCCGCGCACATGCCGCCGGTCATGAGTTGCACCCCCCCCTCTTGGACGCCCCCCTCTTGGCCGCCCCCGACAGCTGCTGGGAAACATCCGGGGCCCGAAGCGTTCCCAGATCTCCGTTGGCATGTGCTTTTCAGTCCAGGCGTTTTTCCGCGATTTCGGCCTCCGGGGCCATCAGACATAGATCTGGGACGGAAGGTACCCCCAGTGGAGGGGTCGGGAGTTCGAGCACCGCTAGTTCCTGGCCGTTGTGGGCAGGGCCCGCTGTTAGAGCCGCCGCGAACGTTGCCCACTTGAGACGAAGAGTCGCCTGCCCGAGAGCGGCCGCGGTCGATTTCGGAGAACGTTTGCTGTGGTCTCATTCATCGCCCACCTCGCCGATGTATCGCCAGTGCATCGCCGATGCATCGTCGCTGCATCGGCGATGCGGCGCGATCCCCCGACCCCATCTTACGGGGCCCAAAAGTATACACCACCACCACCTCCCTCACCCCCTCCCTCGCCCAGGAAAGAGGAGAGGAAGAGGAGGGTAGAGGAGGGAGGAGGAATCGACGTGGTGGTGGCGTATATCCTTGTGGCCCGCACATCTACCCCGACCCCATCTAGGAGGCCTCTATGTGGGGCCTCGTGTCGTAGCCGCCTCCTCCGTGCCCATCTCGGGCGTGCCAGCTCCTCGCGCCCCAGTGTCGCGCCGGCTCTTCGTCTGCCGTGTGTGTCTCCTCTCTGCCACGGTCGGCGGCGCGCCAAAGAAGGGGGGAACGATGGGCAAATGTTCCACCACCGCTACCATGTAGGACGGGGGAGAAGGAAGGATGAGGAGATCCTCCTCCTCCTCCTCCTCCTCCTCCTCCTCCTCCTCCTCCTCCTCCTCCTCCTCCCTCTCCTACATGTGCTATTGGTGGTGGGAAATGGGCCCATCAAGGAAGGCAGAGGGGGCGAGCCTGCTCAGAAGGCTCAGGAGGCATCCGGCCATGTGAGAAGCTCTCCAGTCGGGGCTCAAGAGACGGGGGTCAAGGCGCACGGGGGTCAACCAGAGCGCTGGATCTTGCAGGGTTCTGCAGAGCCAGGGCTGGTGCAGGATCCTGCAGGATCAAGGCCTGACTGACCCGGGCTTGGCTGGACCCCGGTCAGAAAACATCCCCGACCCAAGCCGTCTCTCCGAAGCCCCGCCGCCCGCTGAGAAGGACTGCCCCCCCCCGCCTCCCCCCTCGAGGGCCAGAGTGGCCCACGACGCCGCGCTCGAAGTCACTCTGGCGGCGTCTGCGCTCCATATTGGAGAAAACAAAAAGGGTGACATATCATCCCGCGACGTCTTCTTCTCTTGCTGCTTGCTCCCCTCTCGGCGCGCCGCCGACACGGGGAGCCCCGCGCGTCCGTCGAGCGTTCGGCGGCCCCGTCGCCCCGCGGAGGTCGACCGGCTGCTCCGCGAGGAGGCCCCGGCGACCAGGATTTGGCCGAATTTGCAGGCGGTTCCGTGTGTTGACGCGGTGTTTGGGCGCGGGTCGAGGAGGAGGGGGAGCAGCAGCGCTTCGCTCCCTCCCAGATTTCTGGCTTCGATGTGAAGTCGATCCGGGCCGTTTCCCCGTCTTCGATCTCGGCCTCCGGGGTCCCGTTTCGGGTCGTGGGGCCCAGGGGCAAGCATCGCTCCAAGGAAAGGGGTGGGGACTTCTAGGGCCCGCGGGTTGAGACAACAAGTCGACTGGCAGCCCAGGGGTAATAGCAAACAAAAAGAACGAGAGCAGGAAGGAGGAGTAGGAGGAGCCCAGGCTTCCGATTCCGAGTTTGTTTTCGTTTACTGGTGGAGTTCTGGACCGCTTCTTCGGGACCAGTTGTTCGTCTTGGGTTGTTGCTTTTGACGGCCGGAAGGTCGAAAACGGCCACCAGAGAACGGCCATAGTGAACTTCCATTTCCATGTTGCGCAATACGTTCAATGATCGACCCCTGGACCTGTCCAGTGGCGCGCTCTGGCCAGGACGTCGAGGTGGATCCGGCCGTAGCGACGAGGAGCATCCTGGAGGATCGAACAGGAAGAAGCGCATTCAGAAAGTTCGTAATCGCCCTCGATGACAGAGGGGAAGGAGTGTTGGTTGGTCCTTGGGTGCATTTGTTTCGATGCGTTTGGGGCACTTCCCTCGTCGCCGCGGACTCCCCACGGGTGTCTAGGCTCTTGGACGTCCTCGGTCCATCCCTTGGCCTCCGCAAGCCTCTTGGGAACATGGAAATCCGGCCCCAGGGGAGGTGGCCGAAGCCCCCGGAGCCGACGTCACGAACAAATTACAACAACGGAGGAAGAGAGGGCCAGGGCAGGTCTTGGTGATTGAGGTGGTGGCGTTTGTTTTACGACGACGGATGTCAGGGAAGGGCTCCGTGCTTTGTGAGGCGCTTCTATAGCTGAGTTTGCAAAGGCACTTGGGGATTCTAGAAGAGGAGGTGGGAGGAGGAGGTGGGAGGAGGAGGAGGAGGAGGAGGAGGAGGAGGAGGAGGAGGAGGAGGAGGAGGAGGAGGAGGAGGAGGAGGAGGAGGAGGAGGAGGAGGGAGGAGATGGGAGGAGGAGGAGGAGGAGGAGGAGGAGGAGGAGGAGGAGGAGGAGGAGGAGGAGGAGGAGGAGGAGGAGGAGGAGGAGGAGGAGGAGGAGGGGGGCCTCCAGGGGGTCTACTGGGGGTGGGGAGACCCCCAGACCTCCGACCGTTCTGATTTCCCCCGTGCGAGGCAGAGCTCACGACCCCATCCCCGGGCCCTTGCTTCTTGTCTGTGACACGGACAGTCATTCCAGGGCCTGGTGCCCCACGCGGGCCTTCGGAGGTCACGCCCGTTGCCTTTTCCCAACCGTGCTGTGGTGCTGGGTCCTCGTCTTGAAGCCTAAGCGCCGTGCTCCACTCCCTCCTGCTGCCCCCTTCCTCGGGCGAAGAGAACTATGCACATGCATCGATTCTGGCCAAGCCCATCTTGGGCCCAGGATCGGTGCATATGCTTTCCTGGCCAAGGCAGGAGGGCATATGCACCGATCCTGGGCTCAGGATGGGCCTGGCCAGAACCGGTGTATGTGCATAGTTCTCTTTCCTCTGCTTCCCTCCCTCCTCTGCTCTCCACATGCCCAGCCTGGCACGCCCCTCACACGTTTCGTGGCCCCACAGGAGCTCCACTGCGGCCCCCAGCAGGGGGCTGGGGCAGGGGGCTGGGCCACAGCGCCCCCCAGTCCATCTCGGCACGCTCATCGCACGTTGCGTGGCCCCCAAAGGAGCCACACCGAAGCCCCCAAGGGACGTGGCCCTCACACGCTTCGCGGCTCCATAGGTCACTCCACCGAAGCCCCCACATTGTGTGGCCGCATGCGATTCCCCCGCCCATTTCGGCACATTCTTCACGTGCCACCTTCAGCGCGAGGAAGCGGTCCACGATGCCCTTCGAGTTGGGATAGGGGATGTCTCGAGCAGAGAAAGGGTATCACACCACCAGGAGGACCCCTTCCTGGCTCCTCGCGATGGGGATAGTGGTGGTGGTGTTTTTGATTGCTCCTGCTCCAGACTCGCGCGGTTCCAGACATTCCCGATGTATTCTCGGAGGCGACGCTAGGGGTGAACAGTCCAGGGACAGGTATTGCACGCATTCGCTGGAGACCCTCGCCGAAGACACGGACCATCGGCGCCCCTGGGTACGCATGTACTGCTCGTCCCTGGGCTGCTCTCCCTGACCGTCGCCTCCGACATCCCTGTCCCAAATTTGTCCTCGTCTTGCCGTGGTGCTTCTTCACAGCGTGGACCCCCAGAGGCCTCGACCCGCTCCCTGGGACCCGCTCTTCGCCCTGAGGCGTACAGGTTTCGGAAGAAATAGCGAACACTCCGCCACATTCATCTGTGAACGCCTCCCCCTCCCCCCAATGTTCAAAGTTGGCGGTGGGTCTGATGAGTTGCACCTCGACCGCAGTCTCCCCCGCGCGTGCCAACTTTGAGTTTGGGGGGCAGGGGGGGTGTTCACTAATTGTTTCCCTCTACCGTATGTTGACGGTCCCAGGGCGAGGGCCTCCAGATGCTGAAACGAGCACAAGATTTGCCCTCGCGAGGGGGCATCCGGGTTCGTCTCCACCTGGGCCCCGCTGACGGCCCCCGAGGGCCGCGCCTCGGCCTCCCGCCAGGTGGTGCTGGCGGCCGACGACGGCGCGCCCGTGCCCGCGGCCGCGCGCCTGAGGGAGCTGCTGGGCGACGGTGTGGAGGCCAGTGCCCAGAGCCCCCGTCGTCGAGCGGCGAGAGCCAGACTCGAAGATGCTTCGGAGTGTGCCTGGAGGGTCTGCGCAGGTTTTCGGACGGCTTTCGGGGCCTGGCGTGGTTCATATGCGCGGCGCCTCCTCGCGGGCGTTCCAGGGATTCTGGAATCGTCCCAAACGGCCCCTTGGGGCCCGAGTTATTGGCCTGCCACCACGTAGTGACGAATGTTGTAACTGATCGTGTTCGTTCTCCGTGTTTAACCACCTTTCAGTGGCGTGCCGTTTAAATTGTTTGTGTTTATCTTCAGTCAATTAGCTAACCAGAGCTGGTCGTCCCCGCATTCGTTTTCTTCGAGGTGTTTTTCACGCGCGTGATCTGCATTACATGTATCGTGAAAAGTTCAAAGACCTGACTACCGGTATAGGAACCTGCGTTCGATACCAGCACGCGTGCGCGTGCGTGCGCAACCACTCGACGCTGCACCACGTGATCGGCGTATGCAAACCGCATGTCACGTTGAACATCCAGGGACAAGTTTGAACGCTGTGTGGCTTGGTGCTTGCAGAAGTTGTGTTGTGTGTGTGTCGTTATTAGTTGTTGTGTTCGTTGTGTGTTAAAATTGATTTAAACGTGTTTGAAACTTAAGCGCGCTGAGTTGGCTCGCTTTGTGTTGTTCGTTTTGTTTGGGTGCGTCCCCGAGGTTGCAGTTCACGTTTCGTTTCGGTTGCTTCGCTGCACGGTTCTGTTCGTGTTAAGTTTTGTTTCGCGCTTTCTTTGTGTTCATATTGTCCTATCGCGTTTAAAAGTGATGCGATGTGCACATGTTTTGTTTAGTTGTCTAATGGCCTTCTGCCCACCCCGCCATCGTGCTTGGGTTGTGGGTCAGAGTCCTCAGGGATGCTTCTTGAGGTCTCTTCGGAGCGCCCTCGGGGGCCTCTTGGAGTCAGTTTCGGAGCCTCTTGGGAGCCTCTTGGGGTTCTCTTGGGGCCTCCCGGGGCCTCTGCGAAGCCTCTTGGGACCTCTTGGCAGCCTCGTGGCTCGTGGGGGCATCCTGAGGGCTTCTTGGGGCCGAGGGCCCGACATGTCCATCCGTGTCCCCCGTCGGGGATCCCTCTTGGAGCATCTTGGAGCCGTCTTGGGGGCCGTTGGGGCCGTCTTGCCAAGGACAATAATTGAGTTTGGCCTCCTGCCCTGCAGCCCACCTGCCGCCCAGGCCGCCCGCGCTCCGATCTCCACTCCATTCCCGTCTTCCCTCCTCCATCCCTTCCTTCCCTGCCACCCCGTCCCCTCCTCCTCTGTTCCATCTCCTGCCCCGCTCACCGCCGCGCTGGGCATCGTCCCGCGCCGACGCTCCCATCGACCACACGCAGGAGTGGCCCTTCGCCGGGGTGGCCCTTGGTGCGCAGCTTTTGCGGAGCGCGGGGGGGGGGGGGACGGCCAACCGCGCAGGCAGTGGCTGTCGCACCGCACGCAACCAAGGGCAAGCCGCTTGCCAGGTGTCACTTTTTTCTGGGACCACAATTGCGTGTAGCCGACGGGCGCTCCGCCCTCGGAGGTGTACTCCCCGCTCTTCGTGGCGGGGGGGGGGCTGCTCGGCGTGAACGTCACACCCCGGCGGCCCTTCGGCGCGTCCACGTACCTGCTCGACCCCCGCGGCGCGTTCGTGGAGCTCCTGCCGCTGCGGTGGCGGGGTGCGGAGGGCTTAGCTTCAGAAAGGACAAAATACAGATACCGCTGCCCGACCCTCGTCGCCACGGCTGAGTTCGCAAGTTGGCCCCGAGCCCACACCTCCAGGCTTCGCGACCGGAAGAGCGCAGGGCCGCCGCCTGGCTTTGACGCAGGGGCCAAGCTTCGCATTTCCGTTGGCAGCGCAAGCGGGTAACGTTTCAGTATTTCTTTGGTGTCCGCGCAGCGGTAGGAGCAGCGGTCCTGCTTGCGCTGCGGTGCAATGCTTACGTCGCCGCCGCGGCTTCTGATGGAAACACAAAGCATGGAAGACCAGAACTACGTAGGCACACCGAGGTCAACACCTTCATACTCCAGCGGTTTGAACCTGGTTGTTAGGCTCGCTCTGCAGGTTTCATCATTGCATCGCTGTTTACGACGTATTGGCCTTGTGACCTGGGACACACGTAAGTTACCTTGGGACAGCTTGTTTTTCGATCGTCGTACGTAGCGCCGCGCGGAAACCATCTGCTCGAACACGGTGTTTTTTTTTGTACCAGGTTTCAGTTACTGTGAGTCGGTTTCCGCCCCCCCCCCAGGCTTGATGTTTAGATATTTGTACGACTATATGTATGTACGTACGTATGCTTGCATACCTGCATACCTGCATGTATGCATGCATGGTTGCCTGCATGTATGGATGCAGGCATACATGTATGCATGCGTATATATGTGCTTATGTGAATGTAAGTGTACATGTACTTGTACATGTGAATGCGCACGTACATGCAGATGCATGTGTAAATGAAAACGAGTACGTATAATTATATGTCTGTGTACCGGTATATGTACGAATAACTGCATGTTTGCGTGTATGCATACATGCATGTACGCATGTATGCATGGATGCACGGATGCATGCATGCATGCACGTACATATGTATGTGTACATGCACATATGCATGTTTGTAAGCATGTATGGATGCGTGTATGTATATATGTATGCATGCAACGTTTGTGATGCATATAATGTGTGAAATATATGTTTCTGTGTATGTGTGTGCATGCATGTACGCATGCGCATAGGTGTATGTGTGTGTATGGATGTGCATATGTATGTATGTATGTATGTATGTATATGGTTGTGTGTGTAGTCATATACGTATGTCCATTGTATGCATGTATGCATGTCTGCTTGCATGTATGGATGTCTGTACATTGGCATATAGGTCTGTTTGGCTGTATGTATTTGTCTACTCATATGTGTAATGTATGTAATATACGTAATGTATGTAATACGTGTAGCGTATGCATGTATGGTTGTGTACATGTAGAACTGTATGTATGTTCATCTATATATGGTGTCTACATGTGTATAGATGTGTGTGTGTTTATCTGTGTATATAGAAGTGTATGCATACAAGACTGCATTGACGCTTCGCGCCATGCACTTTGGTCCCTCAAGCCTTGCATCTGTTGGCACTTGGCACCATCTTCTTTGGCCTTGGAATGTTGGCCGTTTCCCGTTCAGTCCCCTCGCCCACTCCTATTTGCTCTTGCCCTCGCTTTGCAGATCCATGCGCCACCCGAACTTCTCTTGGGGTGCGTTTTGATCCGAATTTAGAGGCGGACCCGATCACGTGGCGCGAGAACGCCACCTGGAGGCTCCGAAAGAACGTCGAACCAAAATCGCGTGCCTTCTTCGCGCGATCCTGCGTCTGCTGCTGTCATAACTGCCTGCGCGTCGATTTTTGACTTCGCTCGGATCGTTCAGTCGTGCACGATCGCGCATTCCCGTTCAACGCCAGCCGAGTTCTGACCACTTGCTGTGTTCATTCCAACGCCCGCGCTGGGGTCGCCCCCGCGTCGATATAACGCAAACCGACCGCTGTGGAGGAACAGTTGTTTCCAGGGGGATCGCCTTTTACCCCGGGATCTGTTTTTGAAGCCCTCCCGGGTTGCAGCGGCTCCTGCAGGCCGACGTCGAACAAAAACCGCAGAGGATTGCAGAAGCCTGGCGGCTCCCAGCAGCTCCCGACGGAAGAAAACCAACGATCATCTGAGCCATCGTAGACTCCGAACAGTGAGGTGTGGAACTCCGCCGGTGAAAGTTCTGCAGGTAAGCCTATGCGATGCGAGCAATGCAAGGCAACGGGAAGCAACGCCTCATCGTTCCTCATCGCGCGTCTCGTTCGTCCACGCTCTCCCTTGGCATTGCGATACACTTCCCGCTGGCCACAGGTCTTTTTGCGGAGGCTCCTCGTTGGAGAGCCTCTTGGGAGCCTCACGAATGCCTCTCAAAGCCTTTGGGGACTTTTGGAGGCCTCCTGAGCACGTCACAGAGCCGGCTCGGGGGTCATTGTGAAGCCCGTGTGGGCCGTCTTGGGTCCCTCGTGGGCCGTCTTGGGTCCTCCTTGGGAAACTCGGGCCCTCTCGGGAACCTCCCATGGCCCTCGTGGATCTCTCTCGGGAGCCTCTGGGGGGCCACGTGAAGTTTTTGGGCCGTCTTGGGGCTTGGGGCAGTCTCGGGTTCCTGTTGGCCCGGTTTGAAGCCCTCTTGGGTGCCTCTTTTGGCCGCCTTGGAGCGATTTCGCAGCCTTCTTGGGCCGTTTTCTGGTTGCAACCACGACACAAAAAGCGAATACATGCTAAAAATGTACACGTTCTCCGAGCATGGAGACGATGTTTGCCTCTTGGGGGCTCTCCTGGGGGCCTCGCGTCTTTGGGGCCTCTTGGGCTGTTTGGGGGGCCTCTTGGGCCGTCTGGAGGCCGTCTTGCGGTGCAATTGGGCTTTCCTGGAAAAGCGAGGCCCTCCATGGCCCTCGTGGGTCTCTCTTGGGAACCTTTGGGGGCCTCGTGGGTTTCTTGTGGGCCGTGTTGGGGCACTCTTGGGGTCCTCTTTGGCCCGGCTCAAACTTCTTGGGTTTTTTTGGGCCGCATTGGGGCGACCTCGCATGCTTCTTGGGCCGTGTTGGACGCTGCTACGACCCAACAAGCGAAGATGCTAAACACGCGCGCTTCTCGTCAAAGAATGGGGCGATGTTTGCCTCTTGGGGGCTCTCCTGAAGGCCTCCTGGGGCGTCGTTGAGGCCTCTTGGGCCGTTTTGGGGGTATATGGGCCGTCTGGAGGCCGTCTTGCGCTGCCGTGGCGCTCTCCTGGAAATTTGGGGTCCTCTTAGGTACCTCCCATGGCCTTCGTGGGTCTCTCTTGGGAGCCTGTGGGGGCCTCGTCAGTTTTTTTGTGGTCCGTCTTGGGGCAGCTTTTGGTTCCTTTTTGGCCTGGCTCGAAGCCCTCTTGGGGGTCTTCTTGGGGCCGCCTTGGGGCGATCTCGCAGTCTTCTTGGGCCGTCTTGGGCACGCTGCTACGACCCAACAAGCGAAGATGCTAAACATGAGCATGCTCCTCCAGGAATGGGACGATGTTTGCCTCTTGGGGGCTCTCCTGAAAGCCTCTTGGGGCGTCTTTGGGGCCTCTCGGGCGTTTTGGGGACGTCTTGGGCCGTCTTGAGACCGTCTGGCGCTGCCGTCGGGCTCTCCTGCTTTGAGCTTGCTGGCAAGGCCCGGCAAGGCGCGTTGGGAGGCGCGGCAGGACGGGGGGGCCTCTTCCAAGGACGTCCAGGGGGCCCCCACGCTCCAGATCCCGAAGGTCCCGTTTTTCTTGTTTGTTGTTGTTGTTGTTGTTGTTGTTGTTGTTGTTGGTGTTGTTGTAGTTGTTGTTGTTGTTGTTGTTGTTGTTGTTGGTGTTGGTGTTGTTGTTGTTGTTGTTGTTTTTTTTTTGGGGGGGGGGGGCGATTTTTTTCCCGCCCCCCCAAGCGTATACAAAAGATATGAAGTGTAAACGAGAAATATATATATAGAGAGAGAGGACGCGAGAGGGAGTGATATATGTATATATAATATATATATATAATATATATATATATATTTATATATGGTTATATACACATATTCATATATATATATATATATATACATGCATATATACATATCGATATGCATATACATGTATATGTATGTGTATGTATGTATGTATGCATGTATGTATGTATGTATGTATGTATGTATGTATATATATATATATATATATATATATATATATATATATATATATATCAGCGGTGAGAAACAGTCCCGGGATCGGGTCAAATGCTCTGGTCCGTCGTGGAAAGGAGACGGCGTTGCATGGGTTGGAGGTCTGGCTGGTCCTCGATTGATCCGGATCGACGCGGTGCTGGCAGGGTATGTTGTTCATGGAGATGGATCGGGCCAGCTGGTCCAGGCCTGGGCAGCAGATTTGCGTGGATCTGGGGACACCTGCCAAGCAGAGGTGGGAGACAGGTGGAAGAGGAGGAGGAGGGAGCAGCAGGAAGGAAGACAACGAGGATGAGGAGGACAACGAGGAGGAGGAGGAGGAGGAGGAGGACGACGACGACTCTCGCCTGTGATGCCGTAAATGTCTGTCTGATCTTTTTTCATGCGTTTTTACGTGTTCTTTCAGGGTGATCAATGTGTCCCCAGATTTCGAGGTGTGGAAACGCATCTTTGTGATGTGCTTCTTTGTCAGCTTAGGACTGCCCTTGCCACTGACCTCGACGCCACTGGCTTCAAGCACAGGAATGTCGGCACTGGCGGGCCTTGGACATCGCACATGTTGTTGATGGTGTTAGTGTCGATGATGACAGTGGATCTTGTCTACACGAAAGCGCCATCCTTCCCGTGCTTGCTCACCTCCCTGGCCATATTTTCACCTCCCTGGCCATATTTAGGGCTTCGATCGTGATCTTCTCCTCCTGCTTGGAGTTCTCGCTGGTGTCGATTGTGGTCTTCTTCTCGTGCTGGGAGTGCTCGCTCGTGTCGATGGTGCCCCCCTGCCACCGACTCCTCTGGGATGACTGCGCAGTTCCCGAGGAAAAGGGACTTGTGCCGCGTCCGCAAACAACGGGCCCACCCGCTCACACATCTTCCTCCGTCGCCATCGGGTTCGTTGCTCAAGCCAGTTGTCAGAACCGAGGCAGGGGTCACTCGCAGTGGGCCCGCCCAACCACCGCCGCCACGAGTACCAAGACACTTTTCTCTTCGGCGGCCGCGGCACGCGAGGCTCGCGGGCGCCACTCAGCCGCGCAGCTGATCTCGCTCTCGGCCCCCAAGTTCCAGCAACCCGAGCTACACGTACGTCGCGACCGCCACGGAGGATATCTTCAGCAGCACCAGCGGCACCAACAGCTACAGCTTCGGCAGCACGGTCGACTTGCCTGACGTCAACACCGACCTTGCCTCCTCCGCTTCTGTTCCCGAGGTTCTTGAAGATGACGAACGAGCAGGGGAAGGCCGCGCCAGCTCAGCCACCCAGAGCCGCTCGGCATATCCCCCCAGGACTCCTCAGCGGCCTCCGCGGCATCTGGGAGCGGATCCAGGCCCGAGGGGCAGCGCCGCCGCCAGCGGCCAGGCCGCGCCTTGCGCCTCCCGCCGCCGCCGCGAGCGGCAGGATCCGTGGGCGAGCCGCTCCCCAGTGGGAGGCGGGGCCCGCGGGCGCGGGCGGGGGCGTGCGGGACCCCAGCAGGCAGCGGCGCGGAGGCCGCAGGGCGTGGCGAGGCGACCTTGGCAAGAAGGTATGCGCCAGCAGGGACGAGAACCTCCTCGCCCTCCTGAGGACGACCCGCGAGCTCGTGCCCCAGGACCCTCACAAGACGCGCCTCGACGGCAGCATCGGCAGCGACACGTGCACGACGAGCACCGAGCACCCCGTCATCGACGGGATCTCGACGGAGCTGCTGGGCTAGAATCAAAGCAGGCGCTGACCAGTTGCCCAGGAGTAGCGACGCCGACGACAAAGCAGCGCCTCAAGGATATCGGCTCGCCAGCACCATCCTTGGACCTCGCGGCCCTGGAGGGCCTCATGCAATGCGACATCGGCGGCCAGCTGAAGCAGGATATTGCGGAATGCTTGAAGAAGGTCCAGCCAGCGGACAAGGATATAAGCTTGACGTTGGGATCCCTCAGGACGACCTCCAGCTCGCCATCAGCTTCATTGGTCGCGAGAGCTGCTACGATACTGGGGATAATAGTAATAATACGACTATGACTAATAATACGAATCTCAATGCTGAGAATATGAATGATACATCTAATAATAGTACGAACAAGAGTCGTAATACTAACATTACTAATAATACGAGTCAGAAGAAGAAACACATCGCCTGAGATCGCATTGACACCGTCAGGAAAAGAGTTCGCATATGTGGCGGAACCCAAGTTGTTGCAGCAGCTAGTGCGCGGTCATGCTCGTTTCTGGGATGCGTATTTCGAGCCATTGTTATCTCGGGTGCTGGGGCGAATCATAAACTATATAAGCATGGAATGGGCCCCGGCGCGATTGCACGGCGACCCGATACAGTGGATGCCGCGCGGTAGCACAACAAGGTGGCGGACGGCCTTGCGGACTTGACGATGGACATCAGGAGATTCGACGGTATCGCGCGACCCTGCCGCCTGGGCTCGCGAAGGTTGTTGTCCAGACAGGCGGCGGCCTCAGAGACGGCGACTGTGCAGCCTCTGCTTGGGTCATCGGCCTCTGGGGTATCAAATCGGCAGCGTGGATATATGAGCTGGTTGTGGCTGGAGGCGTGTTGCTTGACTTGCCGTGTACAGCGTTCAAGGCAGAAGCGATTGCCTTAGAGGAAACATCGGTTGAGGTCGATGCCCTGCTATCTTCATCTTTTACAGAGCACAAACAGCTGAAACTTTGGTTTCTTAAGCTGCGCAACAAAAAAGAAAAACAATAAGTTCGTCATCGGGGCCCCCACCTGGCTCGGCCGTTCCCTGATCCAGCGCGCGCTGGCGTCGGAGGGCAAGTCGACCCACCACCGTGGCGTGGCACCGGCGGGGCGGCTCGAGGAAGAGGTGGGACACTGGCTGGAGACGCTCGAGCGATGATCTTTGTGAGAGGTGCGCCCCTTCCAACCAGTAGCAGCGGTGTGAGCACAACTTATGCCTCCTCCTCCTCCTCCTCCTCCTCTGCCCCCAGCTCCAGACGAGCAGCATGTTTGTCAGGAGGGCCCTGAGTCTCTACGAGCAGCAACATGTAGATACAAGCGCCGAGGATGAGGCCACCGCCTTTCTGCATGGAGTCGACTCCTCCGAATGCACCAATGAAGGCAGCGCCGTGCAGTCCCCCTGCGCCCATGCGGCGCGGCCCCGAGCGGGGCAACTCGATAACATCGGGCTGTCTGCGACGGACCTTCAATCTGTTCTTCAAACCTGCAGCCTCCCCAGTTCGGCCCTGACGTCGAGGGAAACAACAACTCCCCCGAAGTGTGATTATCCTGCATCTGCTGCGTTCCTTGGTGCTTCGCCTCGAACGTGTTCTCCACATGGTTAAAATAGTGTTCCAAAGCCTCCTCCGCCAGCCCGAAGGAGTGGACCTCTACCCGGGTGCCGTCGTCCGCCGTGGGGGCGAGGAGAGGACTGGAGCGCCATGGCCGCAGCGGCTGGCCAGAGACGCGCCGTCTCTGGCCCCCCAGGCTGACGCTGGTTCCTGGGGCAGGCACCGCTGCCTACCCTTCGAGCCCGCGGCTGCGGCAAACCCAGCCCCTCTTTGGGAGGGGGGGAGTTTGAGCCAAAAAGGCGACTGATAAAGGAAGAGGAGGAGGAGGAAGAGGAGGAGGACGAGAAGGAGGAGGAGGAGGAGGAGGAGGAGGAGGAGGAGGAGGAGGAAGAGGGGGAGGAGGAGGGGGAGGAGGCGGAGGAAGAGGAGAAGGAGGAGGAGGAGGCGGAGGAGGAAGAGGCGGAGGAGGAGGAGGAGGAGGAGGGGGAGGAGGAGGGGGAGGAGGAGGGGGAAGAGGAGGAGGAGGAGGAGGAAAAGGAGGAGCAGAACAACGGGGACGAGGACGAAGAGGAGGAAGAGGAAGAGGAGGAACAATCAAACAAATAGTATGTGAGGGGTAGGAGAATGCAAGGGAGGGAGGGAGGAAGGGAGGCGTCTTCACCCTAGGTGATCCTGCTTTTGCACCCTCCCTCTCGCCACAGGAAATTCCGTGCGTAGGCCAATTATTTCTTCGGTTGGTGTTTATGTCGTTCTCGGTTGAGGCCGGAGCCGTGTTCAGCGGCAACAGAAGTTAGACCCGCGAGGAGAAAATACGTTCATGCGAACCACAGCTTTTGATTTGAACTACGCACCAACAAACATATTTACGTCATGCCCTCACCCCAGGAAGTCGCCGTAGACCCACGCTTTTGGTACACATTGATAAACACTTGCTGTCGGCTCCCAAACGAGAGCACACTTTGCAAGTAGAGCCGCGGTTTATCGATGTAAAGTTTGGGAGTTTACATCCAGGAGCGTAGAATGCAAAGACGCCAAGTCGAACACATGTTTTGGTAACGAGCCCAACTTCTATCTTGGTAGTCGATGCGACTGCAGAGTTGAAGATCGCATTGTGTGAGGATGCCCGATGGGAAAAGCCGATGTTGAAAAATGCCCAGCCTCCATATGCGTAAGTGCTGCAGGCTTTAAACTATTTGGGAGCGTATGATGTGCGAACATCGAAGGCGACAATTGGAGATTGCAAAAAGAGCCCCCTTTCATGCCTGTCTTTGTTGGACAAGGCTTACTTCGGAATCCAGCAATGTGAGGAAGCTTCCAGCAGCAACCTCATTTTGGGAAGGATACCGTTCCCCGTCCCTGTGGTCTTGGCTTCGATTCTTACCCACCCCTACCTCCTCTTCCCTCCTCCTCCCTCCTCCTTTGCCCCCCTCCCCTCCATGCTAATCCTTCCTTATCCTCCCTTTTCCTTCACCTCTTCCCCCTCCTCTTCCTCCTCGCCCAGACCTCCGACTCCACAGTTTTTCACTAAGGGATCCCCAGGCATGTCGATCCCTTCGTGGGACAGTCTGTATCCCGGGTTGTTTTCTCATGGCTCCGTGCCCGAAAGTCCCCCTCGTGGACAAAAACCGCGGCGAACAGTTTGGGGCAAATCGCGGCATTCGAGGTCTGGGCCCCCCTCTTGCACAGTGAAGCCCCGGTCCTGTCAAGGGGCGCCCGGTGACCAGAATTTGAGGCTGGCCGTTGTGGCGACGAAGAGCCTCGCGGCAGGAGGAGAAACCTCGAAGAGCTCCATCCTCTCACCTCGATCTTCGGTCTTCTACTCTTGGTATCGCCCTTCGGGGGAGCTTGGGAGTCGCCAGACAATTAAGGTGGAACGGCCTCCGAGCGATGCACCGGTTCCCTCCTGGGAGGCGGAGGTGGGCGAGGCATACGAGATGCTGGCGAGCAACCAGCCCTAAAAACGACGATTGCCACCCTGATGGCCGTAACGACGACGACGCGAACGATGGCTCGAGCACAGAGAAGGCATACCCAGACAAGTCGATGGATTCTGCGCTGATCCATTCATGTTCACTCGGCATTGGTACTCGCAGTGTGCGGTTGCAGTCCCCCATCGTCTTCGCGAACCGATGTGCGTTTTGCCAGATACGCTTTCTAGTTCTTGGACGTCGATTATTTAGCTATTCCGTCCAGGTGCACTCGGAACGTTGTGCCGCGCGCACCCATTGAATGACCCCAACAGTTTCCATTGAAGGGTCTTATGCTGAAGGGGGCTATGCCAGTCGTCGAATGGCGACGCGGATGACGCTCGAGCCTCATTCTCCTCCCTTCTCCCTTCCAGACCTCCGACGTCGTGTTCATTTTCGCAACGTGGACCCCTGGAGCTCTCGTGCCTTTCCTGGGGCCCACGTTTCGTCCCGAGTCGTTTTTTGGCGATCCCACCCGATCCCACCTGCGGGGTGCAGCGGGAGTTCCAGGAGGCCGAGAGCGTCCAAAGACGACATCTCGTGATGCTTCACCACGAGGGAGGGCGCGTGGGCCCTGCTGGGCCCGCGGCGAGGTGGCCACCGTCCGCCCGCCCCTCGCTCCGCCCTCTATTTATTCTATTCTATTCTCGTTGGGAGTGTCTGTCAATGCCAGACACCCCTAACAGCAAAAAAAGCTAGTCTGACTCCTCTCCCCTCAGGGGGGGCTCCTGACCAGCGGGCGGCACCAAGCCGAACTTGGAGTATAGCTCTGGAATCGTCCAAGCTTCACCCCACGTGGAGTCAAAAACAGAACCGTCCTCAGCCTCCACATCCTCCAAAACTTGGATTCCCCTCCTTGTGGCTCGAATCAGCGCAAGGAGGTCAGATGGCAGCGGCGCCCTCTGGTCGCTGACTCGCCACCCTCTGTACTGCTTGGCCCAGCTGGGGAAGAGGCTTTTTAAAGGACGGTTTCTCTGCTGCTTCAAATCCTTCGTGGGGGGCTGCGTGGGGCAAGGTTTGCACAACGTGTCTACCCCGCCCCACGCGTAGCCCCCACATCTGATACAGCTCATCACCCAACCACTCCCCGCCACCCGAGCTCCCGCCCCGTCCCAGACCTTATACATTCTAAGGTTGTGACCTTGCAAGAGCACGAGAGCTTGGCTCTCCGATACAGCTTTGGCACTGGAAACGCTAGCCTTCGTGTCAGAAAAAAAGGGAGATTTGAAACTCAGCAGGGTCCTTCTCACACCGAGGCGGTCAGCCGCCTGCAAGGAACTGCGCTCGAAGGCCCGCTGTCTCTTAGCCTTCGCATGCCAGGTTGGCGTCGGGGCCAGGCCGTCCTGCACACTAGTGGGCTCAGGGAAACCAGTTGAGTCCGACCACGAACGCTGGTTCATGAGGACATCCTGGACCCCTCCCCACCGAATTACTTCCTCCTGTAGTCTCTGGAGGGCCCCTACTTGCACCTTGGCCTGAGAGACGTCAGGATGCTTGGACGCGCCGAGCTTGGCAAACCTATCAGCGTGCCGATTCCCTTGCCTCTCGAAGGCAGTGGATCGGCCCTCCAGAATATCATTCATCGTGGCGTGCCCCAGCGTTTTGTGGGCCACAATTCCATCTTCAAAAACATGCCAAACACGCGACCACATATGGGCCCTGGGATTACTCGAGCCAATCGATCCATGTCGATCCCAAACGCACCCCAGGGTCCCTTCACAGTCAGTGTAGGTTTCAAAACTGCCCGCAGCTATATCAGCGAGCATCACATACGCAAAATCTTCCCCGTCCCGTGCCTGCTGGAACGGTGCCGCCTGTACTGGCACTGGTCCATATGCGGCAGAGATGAGGTCACCATTAGCAGCCACCGCACAGATCGACCATCCAGCTCGACGGAACCTGGAAGAGGTGGGGTCGAGGGCCGATCCATCAGTGAACAGGTGACCCGACAACATTCCACTAGCTGGCTTATTAAACCAAAACACTTGGCACTCACTGGTCGATAACGCTGGGGTCGTGATCTCACGCGGATCTGGCATCAGCCCTGCAGTAAACTTCTCGAGATCTTGACCGAGCTCGCATGCTAATCTGGCTGCGTGCTTGGTCTCGTCGCTGAGGTGCTCCCGACGGTCAGCATCGAAAGCGGCGCACTCGAATCTCCTGTGGAAAAGGGTTCCTGGGGCACCTAAGCAGAGTCGACACACATTGTCTGGAGCAAGGTGCTGATCGCAGAGTCTCTGTTGCGTCCAGGTGCCCATGGAGAAACAATTACGAGCACACGCTTGATGGTGGTCATGCCAAACCTCATTTTTGGCCCCGTTGATGACCTTCAAGGCCCCTTCCCAAAACACAGGTCGGACCCAAGACTTATTGAGGCACGGTCGACACTTCAAACCTTTCACATCAGTCCTGCGTCCTGCATCTCTTTCCGCCAGATCCCTGACCGACAGCGGGGCAAGCTGGAGGAGGTCAACTTTCCCACCGTCCGCTTTCAACAGGATCCTCGCACTGACTGGCCGCCAACCTATTTCCGACAGCGTGAGCAGCAGGACGTGCGCAGGCGATGTTGCGCACAGCCACGGCCTGCGCGTAGAAGCCATTGCATCCCCCGCAAGCTCGAACGCATACTGCATCACATACAAAGGAGGTGTGCCATCCCATATTGCCCGCGCCCATTGGTGTATTACATTGGCATGGTACAGGATGTACGGGTCCATGGCTCTGCCCCTATCATGCGCACGTAGTTTGTATGATGTGATCGCACCAGCTTTATGCTTGGACAAACTCTTGCACGCTGCTACTCTTAGTGTGTGTACTTGGCTTGCCGTAAGGCCCGCTACCGCAGTACCCCATAGAGCTCCCGCTTGAGGCCCCGCTCTGTACACATTACTTATTTCCGCACCAGCCACTTTAAGTTTCCAGAGCCTTCGAGCTTTCCGAGCTGCACCTCGGAGACGCTTGAGTGAAGTCACATTCCTACGAATCCTTCTGCATACGGCATCGCAACCAAGAGACCTGACAACTTCTTTCATCGTGTACTTCAGATGCTTCCAAGCTTTCTGGAGACCTCCTGAAACTTCCTGAGACGACGCCAAGAAGACCGTTTTCTTCCCCGAGACAACCAACCCCAAGTCATCAAACCCCTGTCTTAGTTGGATGCCCGCTGCTGAGAGATTCTCTACAACGAACTTGGCAGTGCCCAGCAGCTGCAGCGACACGTCGTCAACGACGTTCCTAATGTACAGCGAGGGGAAGGTCTGCGCCAAACTGCACAGGACGCGGTACAAGACAATCTTTGCGAATGAGGTCGCCAAACTGCAGCCAGCCAATATGGTGCCCGTCGTGCGAAAAACCCCCGACGTCGCTCCAGAGAAATCAATGGCCCTGGGCCCCGTATACAGTGCAATAGCACAAACCGTAATGCCCAGGTGACACCCACTATTTTTGGCTTCATCGAACAGGATCCCAGGAGCGACTCTCTCATAAAACTTCTCGAGGTCTTTGCACAGGGTGGCCGACTCGAACCCTTTAGCACGTGCGAATTCAGCAATCATTGCATGCTGCCATCCAGCACGGTCGCACTCCTTGTCCCTGGAGCCCCAAAAGAACGGCGTGCGATGCTGAGCCTCCCAGGCCCTCATTTCACACTGCCTGACTCGGCCCCAGAACCTGAAAAGCGACAGGATGAGCGCCAAAGGTCTGAGGCCCTCCCCTTCTTGCTTGCCCTGAAAGACAATGATCGTGGGGTACTTATCTGGAATGCTGAAAGGGTCCCTCTCCCAGGCCATCATCACATCAATGAGCCTAATGAGAAAATCCTGAGGCAGCAGGGCCCAGGACCTCGGGTTGACGTCGTCGGCTCCGAGGCCCGTTTCGTGCTTGAAGCGGTGCAGTGCCCACTTCACAACTTGCAAATCGGGTCTTCCAAGAGGTACAGACTGTTTGGCAAGCTCTAGCTGCACCTCTGAAAGCCCTGACCTATGACTCTGCCAATACACATTCCATTCTCTCTCTAGCGCCTGGATCGCCATGTCCCCCTGGAGCTCAAAACCTTGATCCCCCCGAGGTCCGACGACTGGCATCTTCATCTTGCTGTACCTGTGGGCCTCCTTGCCTCCCTTAGTCACAGACTCCTTAGCCCGCGCTTTCCACTTAGCCCATCTCCTACGCGAATGCTGGCTGAGCAGGTGATCATGCGTTGATCTGGCGGTGGGCAGGAAAAACCCCAGCTCTCGGCCATCCGTGCACGTGATAGCCTCGATCATGTCGCTGATCGATGGCGCAATGACTAAAAACTGAGGCAGCAGCAGCACTTCGTCTAGTCGAAGTAGGCCTGCCTTGACCCTCTCCCAAAGCGCGCCCTCGAAGTTGCTCGCAGCACAGTGTTCAGCTTTAGCCAGCAAGGCCACGAGCGAGCGCCACGCCCTAAGTTGGGGAGTAGAGTTGGAGAACCACTTCTTCCGCAGGAACAGCTCCAGAGACAGGACCTTCCTCTGGAACCCTTGGGACCTCCCAAGATACACCTGCCTAGTATCACCATATATATCGCATATTCGACAGAGCTCAAACTCCATATTGGTAATCCACTGTTCCCAAGATCCCAAGAAATCAATATCATCACGTCCAGAATCCCAAGACCAAACTCTATGTTCAGGCTGTCTGATACACCCAATAGGCTTCTTTGTCGGGAAGCGCTTCCTCTTAAGCCTAACGTGGATCGGGATTGACATCGAGATTCCTTTCAACCACAGCTCGACAGGCGAGTGGGGACTGATGGGCGCGTCGTGGAGCACGCTGACACTCTCGACGCACTGGCTCAGGCCGTGCGACAGCAAGAAAAAATCAAGGTTGTTGCCAACTCCTGCACTGCACGTAGCTTCAGCTGAAGCCACCACCGACGCTCCAAGCTGGGAGCACCAAGCCTTCAGACCTTCGGAGTTCGGCTCCATGTTAGCGTCGCAGCCGATGACCCAGGGCACGGTGAGGGACTCCAGGAACCTTCCAAGCCCAGCTAAGAGGTCCGCATTCGCGCCCTTGACCCCGATCGAATGCCAGAAGTACACAGAGACCCAGACGATGCCCCCAGGAAGCACAGCTTGCACATGCCTAGCACAGACCCTACCTGCAGCTTGGGGCAACTTGGTGATCTCCTGGGCCTCTAAGGTCTTCTGATTCAAGAACTTCCGAGCTCCCGTTACCACCCCAGCTGACGTAGAGAGCACATGCTCACCAGTGCTGACTGCAGGTACAAAGTCCACACACAGTCCTTTAAACCTGAGGGCCTTTCGATGCTTATCGACCTCCTCCTGGGCTCTGATCCTGGTTTCCTGCCCCGCGTAGAAGTGGGGAGGTGGGCTGCCGTGATTTTCATCCAGCCTCCAGTCCAGGACGGTTTCCCAAGAGGTCCACGAGTTAGCATTACACGTCATAAAGCCCCAATTTTTGTCCGTTTGCTTTTTGGCCCTTACCCGCTTGGTCCCAGGCGTGACAGGTTGGTTGCCCCTGCCTGCTCGGTCTGCCCCATCTTCACCTTGCAATGGACGCAGCAATTCCTGAGGCGAAGCCGCAGCCGCTGGCCTAGGACGCGGAGAGGGCGCGGGAGCATCGTGCCTGAAACTCCTCCTACGACGATCCTCGGCAGCATCATCATCCTCTGGATCCCGTTGATGTACTTGAACATCATCTTGCTGCAGGGCCTCGTCTGCAGGTGTTGGTCCAGGTAGCCCATCTCGTCCGACAAGGGGCAGGATTTCACCATCAGCATCTTCTCTATACTCTCGCACTGCTGGGGGGGCAGCGTTGCCCAGGTAGAGCCTCATTGCTCTGCGCGTGTGCCTCAGAGCTCTGAAGTGCCGACTGACAGCTCTTTCCCAAGCCTCATGCGTCTCACGTCTGCCAACCCAGTTCATGTAATCAATCGCGTTCCTTCGGCCAGGTTCTGAGCTCTGCCAGCAACCAGAACAGATGTCCTGAGCCAACTGCTCCATCGAACGCCCAGCCGCTGCCACATCAGTCCACGTTAACATTTGCAGTTTCGCCATGACGTACGGCACGCACCAGGTCATCCAATCGTGGTACCCGCTGGACTCGCAATCTAGTCTGAGTATCCATCCCGTCGCCCTCAGGGTCATCGCATCAAGAAATGTTTGCTGAGGGGAACCTGGATCCTCTGGAGATCGCTCAACATCCATATCGGTAGGCTCTCCCAATTTACTCACTGCGTTCTGACCTATCGAGGCTCCCCTATGGTCGGTACTGCCGTCCTCCATTGCCTTCACAGCTTGGGGACGACAATGCGTGCCATCGGGGCCAGCTGCGTGGCGACGACTGTCCCCAAACGGGGCCGCACAGGCAGTCGACAAGGTACCCAATCCTGCAGATGTGCTCAGCGTCGCTCCTGGCCTCGACCCCGAGAAGCGGGCCAGTCGAGGCAGATCAGGTAGAGCAGAGTGTAGCGCAGCGTCTTCCTGTGGCGACTTCTGCGGCTCACAAGGAGCCGTGAGTGCGCCGCTCGACGCAGAGGTGCTCGCCCACGCACCTGCTCCCGAAGTCCATGTGGGCTGTGGGGGGTGACGAACGGGGGCTGAATCCCCGACCCCACAGCCCAGGCTGTAGTCCACTGGGACGTGGTACCTCGGGTCCAGCCTGGCATCGTCGAACATCTGGGAGCGCTGCAGCGAGGGGATCTGAAACCCAACATCAGGCCACTCAACATCAATCTCCTTCCCAGCCAAGAAATCGCCAGGCATGTCAACTTGCTGCATATCAACATCATGCTGTTCATCGTTACGTTGCACCTCAGCTGGCAACTCATCGCATATCACATAGCAATCGTAGTGCATGCTGACAAAGTAGAGCAAGAAACTAAGCGACAGCTCACACTGACCAACCAGTACTGATGCTGTCGACCCCTCACTCCATCGAACTTCGTCTGATGAGTTACCCTCTCTTTCGTCTCTTTGCCATGGCTGCAATCTGCTCCGCCAGTATCCGCTTGGCTCTGGTAAGCTCCTGCTCAGCCTTAGCTTTGGCGTCGCCAGTTGCTGAGGTGGCCGCCGACATGGCTGCAGCGACGCTGGCCTGTGCCTTTCCCAGCTTGTCGATGTCCTCGTCGGCATCGTCGAGGTCCATGTCGGCGTCGTCACAGTCCTCGGCGTCGTCGTCATGCTCACTGCTCCCTGGCACAGCAGGAGGAGGGCGCATAGCATTGCTTGCAGCAACAGCTTGGGCCTCCATGAGCTTGCGGAGCGTCTCGAAGTGAGCATCCTCCGTTGCTTTCTTGGCGACGAACCATTCCTTGAATTCTGTACTGGCTCCCGCCAAGATCGACTCGTCCATCTTGAGTATGGGCCCACTGCCGTCCGTGCAGAAGCCCTTGGCGAAGGTTTCCTTGGCCTCTTGCTGCAAGGCCATCTGTTGACGCCGTGCATCCTGCAGCGCCGTCTCAGCATCCGCGAGCCTCTGGTCCAGCTCGTCCTTCGCCTTCTGAATTTCCTCCCTGGTGTCCGAGACATGCTTCTCCAACTTCGTGACGTTGTCCCTCGCCCTCTCCAGTCTGGTAGAGACTGAGTGAGCTTGTACATGCAGAGGTTTGGCCTCCTGGATCTGGTGCTGCAGCTGTGCGACCATGTCCTCCGCCATCCTCTTGTCAGTGTCGTGCACCGCGAGCCGCGCCGCCTTCTGCCAGTGGGCCAGCCTGTCCTTGAGCTCCTTCTCAGCGGACTCCACCTTGTCAGCCCATGGCGGCGACTTGGCCACCACTCTGGTTGCAGGCTTCTCCAAGCTCTCGAGCCTCTTGACAATCGCCTGCAGAGCCTTGTCCAAGGAAGCTGGTGCACCTTCGGCCCACCTGCCCTTCGGAACTTTCTGCCCAGCAGCTCCATTCCCTGCAACCTCTCGCTCGTGTGCCGACTTGGCTGCCTTGGCAACCGCAACTGGCGCTGTTGAGCCGCAGGCGCAGCGGATCCTGCACGCCCAGTTGCCTTTCCTGTGGCACTTCGTGCAGCTCCACAATGGCTTCTTCGGCCCCAGGAGGATGTCCTTTGGCACCGCATCGCCACCCATGAGGTAGGGACGTGAAGCTGATGCTCCCACAGGAGCTCACCGAATCTCAAAAATCCCTCCTGACCAAGGCCGGGAGGTGCACTGTCGGGGGCCGCTGCTATCCCCCAGGCCAGTTATGGTCAGTCCGAGCCGAACCTCTTGAGCCAAAATGGCTACGGACCTCGCTCCGCCCTCCTCGCTCTGCCCTCCTCCGCATCCTCCTCGTCTTCCTCCGGGATATTGGGGTGGCGGCTGAGCCCAGGGACCTCGTCAGTTCTGCTCGTGCTGCCATGTTTCGTGCCGCTTCGGGGTCCAGGGAGCTTGGAGACGCCACGGCGCGATTGTGCCCCGTGTTCAGTGGAGTCTCTGACACTGACGTCCTTTTCGTCCCTCGGTTCCTCATGTCATGGTTTCCGGGAACATGATTTCTGGGTTCCGAGGACGCCCAAGAGGCCCACAACACCTCAGCGAGGCCCAAGAGGGCCTGAGATGGCTTGAGGATGGCCGAAGAGGGCCCGAAGAGGGCCTTCAAGAGGCAAACATCTGCCCATTCCCCTCGTCTGGCACATCATTTGATGCAGTGCCGGAGAGAGGTTACCGCGATCGCTCCTACGCTGGCCGACCCTGACACCAGTGGGCTGCAGAGAAAGGCCCACAAGTTCCTTCGGTTGAGGCATGCTCACGACTCAGGCCCGATTCAGGGCTGCCAGGGAGCAGCCGTCACGTTGCCTCGCGGTGCTGAAGCCCCACGACGGGGGCGTTCTGGCACGATCTAGGAGCGTCAGGACGCAACAGTCATGTTGATTCGCGGCGTTGGTGTCCGAGGAATGGTGCTTTGGCACGGTCGAGGATTATCCAACGGCTGTTTTCCAATGGGGCATTTCCCGCAATGAAAACCAATTCTTGTCGGGACCTATGAAGAAAGAAACCGGATGGACGGTATTATTGCAACATCTGTGATGCGCATTGGGTTTACACTGGTCCTCCTCCTCCTCCTCCTCCTCCTCCTCCTCCTCCTCCTCCTCTTTGCCCTCCTCCGCAGGCCCCCTCCTCCTTCTCCCGCACCGTCCACCCTAGTAAATCAAACCCCTCGCCTCGATCGGCCCCGCGGCGAGGTGACCACCCGCGAGGGCCTCTGCCGCTGCCGCCTGGGCGACGTCGTGCGCGTGCGCGGCCGCCTCGGGCGGATGCCGCTCGTCTCCGTCGAGCCGGGCGCGTGCCCGGCTCCCGGGCGCGCGGCGACCGTTCCTCCGTGAGCGCGGCCAGAAAATTGCAACCTGATTGGTGGGCCTATTCTTCACCACCGCCACCGGAAGTGGGAGGGGGAGGGGGTCCTCCTCCTCCTCCGCCTCCGCCTCCTCCTCCGCCTCCTCCTCCTCCTCCTCCTCCTCCTTGTCCTCCCTCTCATCCTCCACCTCCTTCCCCCTCCAACCTATGGTGGTGGTGGTGGTGGTGGAAAACAGGCCCATCACTTACGACAGGAGGTCTCGAACAGTTCTACGGCAGGTTTGTAGTGCGCCGACGCGGCGGCGACCCCGCCGCGGGCGTTCCAGGTGGAACGCCGCTGGTGGCCCGCAATCGGCCAACATGGAGCGATCTGGCGATCTGGGAGGCCGCCGATCGTTGACGGTGGAGCGATCCACGCGGTGTCGGAAAAACCTACGCTGGGGCTGCTACGGCGCAAAAGTCGATGGGCTCGTTTTCCACCACCCCCTCCAGAAGTTGGAGGGGGGAAGGAGGTGGAGGATGAGAAGGGGGACAAGGAGGAGGAGGAGGAGGAGGAGGAGGAGGAGGAGGAGGAGGAGGAGGAGGAGGAGGAGGAGGGGGAGGAGGACCCCCTCCCCCTCCTACTTATGGCGGTGGCGTTGGAAAACAAACCCACCGAATGCGCCGTGCATAGGTACACGATAAGGGGGGCCACGGAGGGCCACTGATTTCGGGGGCCCAGTCTCCCAGTTTGGGCGTAGAAGAAGAATAAGAAGAAGCGTACGGAGCCCTTGCGGTCAAGCTGTTTAGAGAACAACATCACCGACGGCGACTGAGACCTCCGCGCGTCGCAAAACAGAAAATAACGGCCGAAAGGTTATGGTTGTTTTCGGCGACCAGGGGCACTTCCTTGGCTCTGGGGCCGTAAACATCGGCTCGAGATGAAGAACTAGTCCTCGGGAAGGGGTCGAGGGGGTCCACTCTGTGAGAACGTCACGACGGCGAGGGCGACGACATCGACGACGGCAAGCGAGGCCGGCCTTCTGGCCCTTTCTGTAGCTTTCTGGGGAGCACCCTCGTCGATGCACAGCTGCGTGCGTCCCGCCTCGGAGTTCTGGGCAGAGCGCGCTTTGAATGGCCCAGAGCCCAGGCAGCCGACGATGTGACATGTTTCACTGCGCGGCCCCGGTCCACCAAACCCCTTGCCGGGGGGGCTTGTCGCCCCAGGTCCGTTCTTGATTGCCCTTGGGGCCCGAAGACGGCCCTGGAGGGCCGAAATTTGGCAGAGGCCTGCCGGGTTGAACAAGAATGCAGTCGGACGTTTGTGGAGACGACGGCGACGACCGGAGGCGCCCCGGGAGAGGAGCCGCCGCCTCCCGCCGCCGCGAGGCCGCTCCACAGTTGCGATGCGCCGAGGGAGCGCGCGGCGCCTCGCGCAGGGCGCTGGCCCAGCGCAGGGCGCTGGCCCATCGCTGAGCGCTGCCCCCGCCCCCCCCCCTGCGCCGGGCGCTGCCCCATCCCGGGCGTTCCCCTCCGAGCTCCCTCGGCGTCTGCGCCGCTCCCGAGCCCATGCCGCAGTCGAGAGGGACGCCGAGCGGGCTCGAAGTCCGAAACGGTGGTGCGTGGCGCGAAGTCTGGGGGAACGAACACTGACATAAACATAAAAACTCGGAGGTCCGCGCGGATTTCTCGGATCGGGGCTCGACCCCCCTCCCTAGCGTGCGGAGCGCGCCAGGGGCGGCGCCGGAGGCGCCGCCAGGGGATCCCAGCGCCGATCTACGAAATCCGCGCGGACCTCCGAGTTTTCATGTCTGTGTCAGTCTCTGTTCCCCCAGAGGCGGCCCGTTCGGCAGCCGAGCGGACCCCGTCCTGGGTGCACGCGGCGGCCGAAGATGGGCTCGGACGCCGAGCGGGGCCCAGGCGGAGCGCGCCCGCGCGTGCCTCGGGCGAGGCGGCCTGGCCCGCCCCGCGCCCTTCTGCTCCAGGGAGGGCCGCCGCAGTCGGTGGGATCGGAGTCGGAGTCCCAGACATCCGAAGGATGTCGCACGGGGCTAGGACAAGGATGCCCATCGGCCGCTGAAATCATGTGATTATTTGTGGGTTCCCAGGTTCCAGTCTACTTTAAGCGCCTTCCTACTTAGTCCTACTTCAATGATCGAGTGGCTTCACCTTTTCCGTCCACCCAAGGGGGCGGACGGAACCCAATCTACTTTCAACGCCTTCCTACTTCACGTTTCTACCTACTTCGTCCGACCGATGGATAAATCCGTTCCAGAGCGTTCCCAGCCTTCCCGAGCACTCGGAGCGTTCCAGGACGCTCTGAGAACGCCATGGAGCCCGATACATCCTCCAGAACCGCCGGGTCGCAGAGATTCTCGATTTATCTTCGTCGGAATTGATCCTCATCCTGGCCTCATCTTAGGATGGCTTCTTTTCAATCGGGGCGTTTTCCCGCAGTTTCGGTTTCCAGGGGGTGATTTTGGCCCCGGGGCCATCATAAGTGGATTCGGGATGGAAAGCTGTCCCTGCCATGGGGAAGGAGTCTGGAGCTCTGGGGCCGCGGATTGGGGAGTTCACAGCGTCGGATGTATGGGATGGGTCCGGGAAGAGGATGGGCGAAAACCGACACACGGTTCCTGCCTGTTTTGAAGCCATGTCTACTGTCGGCGTCGCCGTGGAAGTCGACCGCCCAACAGCGGTCGCTCTCGGTTTGGGACAGCATTTGCTGTTGGGTGGCGTGCCCATCGTTCCCGTAATTACCCATCGCGGGCGTGCCAAAGTGGGGCTGGAGCAGACTGAGGTCGCAGGATCGCACCACACCGCCAGTGCATCGGCGGTGCGGGGCGATCTGGGGCACGGCTCTTGCTTCCACCCCTGGAGTCGCCACGGCGCGATCCTCCGGCCCCAGACTGCGTCGAGCCCCGTTCGGGCTGCCTCCCCTGTTGCGACCGTGGCTATTTGCCTCGCCCTCCCCCTCAGGGGCTCGTGGGTGCCCTGCAGGACAGGTTTCTGGCGCCCCAGCCAGAGGGGTGGAGATGGCTCCTCCACCCCCTCCTCCATCCCTCCGCCTTACAGATAGCTCGCCACCGTCGCGCCAACAGACCTGCCGGTAAGGCGGGGCCGGGCGGTTCGCCTGAAATGTTTTCACCATTTGCGACACAGAGTATTGACATGCCTAAATGCTCGACCGTTAAGTGGAAGGATAGGGGGCGGTGGTCTTCAAAATGGGGCTATCGACTTAGCGCCGCGCGTATCCGTTGTAACAACTTGCGACATGTTCAAGGATGTACGGGGCCGATTTCAAAATCGGTTTATCTTGGCGCCTTGCAAATTCGTTGTAAAAGCTTCGCATTGTTATGCGGATGGAGGGTGGCTCATTTTAAGAAAGGGGCCCTCGCCTTCGCGCCACGCATTTGTTAAAAACTTGCAACCTGTGGAAAGGATGGAGGACGGTTCCTTGTCGAAACGGGCCTCTCGCTTGCACGCAGGAGCGCTGTTAGCGTGATATATCATGCCTTTGGGTCCCTCTCTCTCAGATTATCTCAGTCTCTTGTCTGTTGCAGTCTGTCTCTGACTTTCTCGCTTTTGTTTCTTTTTTTATGTATGTATGTATGTCTCTCTCTCTCTATATATATATCTTTACATACGTATATATACGTATGTATAGCATCTGTCTTATGTCTGTTGCAGGCAGCGAGCACAAGAAGGATGCATATGTGCCATCAGTTTTTGCGAGGGGAGCTGCGCATGTTGGGGATGGCTCAATCGCCAGTCAGACTGAGTCAGGCCGCTTTGTAATAGAGATGTGCGTAAGCAGGCACGATGCACATAGGTATGTCGAGGTGTAACTGCAGTCCTCGAGGCCCCTTGATATGTTTTAAGCAGCGCCGGTCGTCAGCAAACCGAAACATCCATGTGATGATGTAACTTCTGATGACACCCCGAATGCCGATATTCTTCGCAAGTGCATTATTTCAAACTGTCAATCGTTGTTTGGTTGTGATGCTTGTTGTTTGCTTAAAGCGGTTGTCGTTTTTGTTGCCGTCCACACCGTTCCCCTTCCCTCTTCTGTTTGTTTCTGCCTCCTTATCTGATCAGTTTCTGTCTCGAATGATTTCTTCTTAGCCGGTACCGTAAATAAGAAACCCTAGGCAGGTCCGAGAGAGGTTCCATGGCCTTCCATTTGATCCTCAGGGGATGTCCTCGTGGACGTCCCAGTGGTTTCCGAAACCTCTTGCAGACACGCCGTCGTTCAGAAAGAAGTTGTCTTCATCCCGCCCTTCGTCTTATTCTCACCCTGCATCGTCCAACTTGTACATGAGGTTGATGGCCGCCGCCTCTGTCTTCAACCTGTTCGCCAGGCTTCGTTTCCGTCTCTCCCTGGTCGCCAGCTTCGATTTCAGATCGTCGACAGTTCGGTCTGATGTTCTTTGTCGTTCATCTTGATTCTTCCGCTTGTCCACTCTTCCCCCAGGGCCTTGCTTGTCGTTTCGCAGTACAGTCGCTGCCGCCGCAGCCCAAGATGCCCAAAGTAGGAAAACATGTGCCCAGCACACGACGATCGACGTTCGATCCATACCCCTGCTTCTGCCCCCCACTCTAGGCGCCAGGGGAAGCAGGGCACGGATAAGAAAGGGGCCTCGGAGGCTAGGAAGGTGTCCTTATCCCCGATCTGGCCCCTCGTGGCGTCGGGGCGCGAGCAGGGGGGCATGGGCAGCATGTCCATCGCCGAGAGACGCTGGGGGGTCGGAGTCCTCCTCCGCCCCCCTCCCCGCTCTCCCCCTCCCCTCCCGCCGCTCGCCGCCGCAGCGCACGGGGTGGGGGGGCCGCGCGATCTCCCGATCGCCCGGCCCTGCGCCGCCCCCGAACACCGGAATGCTGGCGACGCTGCCCATGGACAGCGTGCTGGGCAGGAGGGGCGGAGGCAACGGACCCGCCCGCGGCAGGAGAAGTCGAGGAGGAGGAGGAGGAGGAGGAGGAGGAGGAGGAGGAGGAGGAGGAGGGCGGGAGAAGAGAGGGAGGGAGGGAGGAGGGAGGGAGGGAGGGAGGG